AGCTGTGATTTGTCCATAGTAGCCAATGTGTGTTCCATCTTGCATGAAGTGCCATTTAGAAGAAACCTTGAGGTGTGAGTTGATGGGCCAGGGAATTATCTCTACAGTGCCTTCTTCCATATAAAACTTTAAGACCTTCTCCATCAGATGGCTGCAGCTGTTCTTATAGATCACCACTTTCTGTACCCCAAGAATCTTGTACATTTCCACACTCTGTATAAATTGCAGGACATTGTTGTAATTTCCAAACATGGCAGAGATGCACACAGTAAAGTCAACAGAGAAGGTCTCAGCCTTGCGATTTTTAATTTCAAACCGTGGCAGCTGGTCAATATCTCCATATGAAGACTGATGAATCGATACATGTGTTGGATCACAGTTTTCGGGTTCCAAACAAACTATATCTGCTGCACCGTAAGGGAATCCAAATCTGTCCGAGTGGACATCAATTTTTGCTTTGGACACATATATCTTCCCATCGGGCTGACAGCAGAACCAGCAGTATAGTTGTTTTACATCTTCATGGTGGACAATCCCAATCACACGAGTGATTTTGCTTTCTCTGTCATCAAAGTATGGGGATATAATAAAAGTTCTGTTATCATTTAATGCTGTTATTGTGGTACTGGTAATTTCCCCCCTACATCTGCTACCTTCTTGAATCACTTTTGGCAGGTGAGAAAGTCTTTGTAACCTAAGATAAGAAAGCGTGACCATTGAAGTTAGAATAATAATGCACACCACAGCAGCAAAGTAAGATTTTTTCCCACCACACAACATTGTGACTGTATCTAAATGTGGACGCAAATTTCTTTGTCCTTGCACTTTAAGCTGCCGCATCTGCAGAAAAGAAAATATGTAGTATGAGATAATATTGACTCATGATTATTGCTCAAGAATTTCACAAACAAGATGGGAGACCAATCTCTATCACTGTGCACTGACTTAATCAGAGACCCAGCTACTCTGCTTTTATGAAAAATCAAGCACAGAACACACCTTTAGTGGGATGGGCAATACTGTATATGGCACTCCAAATGCCTCCACATGTCAGACGTGTAGAACAGTTTCTGTACATGGAAGGTTCTGTGAGAGAACAGGATAGAGGTCTATATACAACTGAACAAGGTGCCGTTATTCATTATTTTCTATAATCCAAATTTTAGAACATCAAATTAAATAATTAGGCAGTATTTTTAATAGCAAAACAAAAGCACTTTCCCCCCGCCCCCTACACAGTGTATATGTAAATTATACAACAAAAAACCTCAACCAGACTTCTCACAGATAGGTTAGGGGCAGATATATAAACTAAATGTATACAGAATTAATCAAGGTCCTAAAATCATGGCAAGTGGGGATCGCACATGATGGTCCAGATACAATCTCTAATGTACAAATTCCCTAACTTGCAATTCACCACAGATGAGACAAGACATTCATGAAATCTATGGGGGTATAAAACCTTGTTCTCAGTTACCAGCTCTACCCTACTTAGCACTGTACAAGGGAGGGCTTGCAGGGAAGGTCGCCTCAGATGATGCTTGCTAGAGATTTGGGGCTCCTCACACTGCACTGATGCTGGCTCAGCTCCTGGCATGGTTTGGGGGTCAGGTCTTAACTCTTGCTGCTGCAGGGACAGGCATCCCTGATACCTGGATGGCCAAAGTCTTTAGCAAATTCACTGGCAACTTCACTGCTTGGCTTCAAAAATTCACCTAGGGTCTGGTTTTCTGGTTAAATGTGTTATTTCCCAACCAGTAAAATCTCACTTCTGAATACAGCAACCTAGCTTCTGAATCTCACCTGAATTCAGGCAAAATAAAAATTGCCCACGCGTTCAGAATAACGTGCAATGTTTTCACACAATGTTCAATGTTTTCTTTCCTGAAAAAATCAAAGTAAGGAGAACTACGGTCACAGCATACCCATTAAAATGTCCTACTTGCCAAGACTGACACGATTTATAGCCACCTTTCCTAGCTGCCAATAAATTGCTTAACAGACTAGAACAGTCACAGCACACCAGAAAGCTCGCTCCATTACATGAGGCACAAAGCTGAACAGCAGCAGCAGGCAGCACTGACTCTTCTGTCTCTGAAACGGAGAGTCCCCCTGAGAAGTCCTTACCCCAGAAGAGCAGAACTGCAAATTCATGGCAAGAGCCTGCTACTGTCATACAGCTTTCTGCTGGAGACTTGTGACTGCGAATAACTTAAATTCTAAGCATTTTTATTAAAGATTCTAAAGTCAGATCAAAAGTTTCCCGAGAGCATTCTTATTCCCAGGTCTTACAACACAGGGTAGGTCACATTTAACATTTTTTCCTCAGTCTTACCTATTTATGACTTAAAATATCGTTTAGTCTTATAAATAGTTTTTACTAAAGAAATATCAAAACAAGTCAACATTAAATAATACAATTAATTTATTACCTGCTATTTCTTCTGCTTTTGCTAGCTAAAAATAATGAATAAGAAATACATATTTTCAACTGTTTTGAACAGAGAACATCTGAAAGAAAGAAATACCTTTCCAAGCAGATAGCTGAGTGAAGTTTTGTTCAGTCCTCCATTTCCTTTTCGCTAAGGTATAAGCTACAAATTGTTTTTCCTAACCAGATAAAAATGTAAATGTTTTTAAGATAAATTGCAAAAATTGTTCAATACAGAAAAGTACTGAGAAAAAAATGCCGATACGATACCTAAGACACTTGCTGACACATTTTATTTCAGATGGTTGGTGTTGTTTAATGTCAGCAACAGCAGCCACACCTACCAGAAAAACAAGTTCTCCTTCTCTTGAGCAAAGCATAGAGCTGTCTCCCAGCAACTTAATTTAAATTACAAACTTGAGTGTGGAGTTGTTGAATCACATCAAACCTAGGCGCTCAGGTGATTTTTTTTTTAAGGCTACTTAAGTTTCCTTCTGGAAATTAATCCTGCATATATCTGCAGTTCACACACATACTTAAAGAGAACTAGAAAAATATACTATATATCTGTATTTCTTGGGCAATCTTTTTTTTTTTTTTTAGTAACATACTACAGGCATGATTAAAATAGGTAAATACAGATTCTGATGAGGAACTGTCAGAAAGATCTGAAAACAACAGCAGGTTCTACAAGCAGAGAAAAAGAACAAAATACAGAACTCAGGACATACCAGAACACAAAATCTTAAAGAAAATAAATATGTAATTATTTGAGGAGTGAAATTCATGGTTTTCCCAAGATGTGACTCATGAATTTTGATCCCCGGAAACTAAGAGCACAGATATGTAGTCAGATTAATTAGGAACATTACATTTATATTTCTTCATTATAGTGAGTACTTGGCAAAGTTTTAACTTCAAAAATATGCTTCCAGCATATTTAGAAGAGTTTATAACAACAACAATAATTCATTCTGGTTTTGTGTCTTTTAATTCCAATTACTGTTCAAGTAGAACATGATACAAATTATGCAGATTTGCTCTAACACTACATTTAGCACATGGCATCAATGGCTATTTTGCACCAGCTTGTTCTTTTTCAGTATTGTCCTTCATAGTAAAGAGCCTTTCTTCCTTCCTATTGCATTTATGGACTGCAGTCATATCACCTCCTAGTCTTTGTATTTGCTCCTTTTTCATTAAGGCAGAGTGTTCTAATACCATCTCATAAGAAACTCTTTTCCTTGACCAATTGCTTCTGTGCAGTTGGCCCAGTTTCAATTAATCTCCAGCACAGGAGACCAGAAATCTCTCTTCCTTGCCCATTTATACATGACAGTGATAAGCCCTCATCATTGTTAGAAATTTTCTTTCTTCACATACACCAGGATTACATTTTTTGCAGAGGCATCACATTGCACAGATACATCTGAGCTTGTCATCAGCCGAAGATTAGTACATCTACCCAGTCTTTCAGCCAAGTCCAGTTACACAATATGTTTTCTTCTGCAGCAAGGTCATAATGAAGAGCTCTTGTCCCAGTTAGAATCATAGAACGACAGAACGGTTTGGGGTGAACATATGATGATTCATCTTTAAGAATCATCTAGTTCCCACTCCCCTGCTGTGGGGAGGGACATCTTTCATGAGATCAGATTGCTCAAATTAGTCACATTTCTCCTAATTTATTTTGTCATAGTCCCTCTAAAATCTACTCTTAAAGCCTTGTATGTGACCAAGATTGCACTTACAAACTTACATATAAATAATGTTTTTCTCCCCCTTCCTAAACCAAGGAACGCTCCTTTCTTTTGATGCATTGTAGCACTGTGGTCCCGACACATTTATTAAACACCCATTATAGGTTCTTCGATAGCTGGTCTGTCTTCTGAGACTTCTGGAATGGAAATTATTCAGTATCACCTTCCAACTGGAATATTGTTTTTACCTTTGCTGTAGAACTTCTATTTTCAGATCTGCTTTTCTGTCATCTTTCTTTAACCCTCCACAATTAGCATTGTCCTTACTAAAAGGTGGAACAAAGTGCTAATTTAGGTCAAGAGCCATTCCTAGGTCATCAGTAATCTCCCCGACATGTTCTCTGCACTGTGGTCTTCCTTAGTAATTTATTTGCACAGAGACAGCTGAAGACCTTTTATGCTGCTCATTTCAGTATCTTTGCAATGTCTACACTGACCTTAATTTTTGATAGCTCTCAGCTGATTACTTTATCTTCCAATCTAGGGTAACGACAGGTGAGGTGATTGCACAATTTCAGTTACTAATATGCCTAATCCTTGGTTTATCCAGGGTCTAACTAAAAACCCACCACTAACAAATAGCCTTTAATTTGTTATTTTTGGAAAAAGTTATTCGCTGTCCTCTTTTTTATGGTTTTTGCCAAAAGTAACAACACAAACCACTGGTGTTTAAATAAAAATAAAATTTGCCAAGACTAACAATCATTTACCATATTTATCTAGATCGTCTGTTGCTAATCTTTTGATAACTTATCTTTTTCAGAGACTCTGTGAAACACCAGTGTTCTTCCTCTCTTACACAATCCAAAGTCAGAAGTATATTGTTTGAAGGGATAAACTGAGGGCGGTATTATTTCACTATTCACAAAATAGTGCTCTAAAAAATTAAGTTGACCATTTCTATCCTAAATACAAAGAAGGTAAGCCAGACCAATACACAGTGTTTCCATACACTCAATTTGTGCCAGCAGAACTGACAAACCACAGGTTTCCCTGTACACTCATAAACGTCTCTCTCATAATCTGCCATACAGCCCAAAGCCAAATTTCTCCTATTGTAAACAATTAGACTTTGTGTCCTTCAAAAAGAAATAGATCAGGCAAAATAAAAGTTGCCTGACAACATTTAAAAGATTACTTCAATTGTCTTTCACGCTGTACTTGTTTCAGCTGGGACAGAGTTCATTTTCTTGACAGTAGAGTGCTGTATTTTGGATTTGTGACCAAAACAGTGTTTAAAACAAACTGATGCTTTAGCTGTCGTTGAACAGTGCTTACACAGCACCACAGCCTTCTCTGTTTCTCATGCTACTCCCCCCTCCCCATCCCAGGAGTGGGGCAGCTCAAGAAGATTGCAGGGGACGCAGCCAGGAGTGCTGAACCAAACTCACCAAAAGCCTGTTCCGTACCATATGATCCCCCGCACAGCAGCAAAAGCTGGGGGGAGACATGCAGCATTACTGCATCGGTCTTACATGTGATGTAGCCCTGCTTTCCTGGAGATGGCTAAAAACCTGCCTGTGGATGGGAAGTAGTGAATAAATTCCTTATTTTGCTCTGCCTGTACACGCAGCTTTCCTTTACCTCTTAAATTGTCTTAATCTCGACCCACGAGTTTTCTCACTTTCGTCCTTCCGATTCTCTTCCTCGGCCCACTGGTGGGGGGGGTGAGCGAGCAGCTGAGCAGCCTGCCAGGGGTTAACCCTCAACACACGCCGAAACCCCTCTTTTGAAGAGTTATGCATTCGTTAACTCCAGGCTTGGAGTGTATTCAGATGTAGATTTCAAAAAACTGGGTTGTACAATTAATACAAACCTTTAACTTACCGCTAAGCGGTTAGCACCAACGGTGAACAATAGCGCTACCGCTGACCTCCACCTGATCTGCTATTTCTTGAGAGGAAATAAAACCCCGAGCCT